TCACGAGTGTGCTCTTCCGCCCCCCCCCCTAATAGTCCCTCGATGCAAGAATAATTGTCCTTCAATTGTACCTTTAGATTGGAAAGGACACATGCAATTAATTAAAGCAGAGTATGCAGCAAGTTCTATGTGTTCGTCTTTAAACTCTGTTCTCATCCAATCTGTTCATTGCTTCATGATTTTTAATGAAGAATGTAATGCTTTAATCACATAGTTTCTTATTTGTCTCGGCTTGAGGCACAAAGTGAAGGATAGCTCATTAGCCTATCCTCTATCTTAGTGTTTGTCTACCTTTATTTAGTTTAGTACATATTATTATACTCATATTATACAATGTGTCACAGTTTAGATGGAGCGTGAAAATGATATGAGTTATACAAGGAAAATATATATGGTCGAAGACGCATAATTACCTTGCAGAGTTCACGATTGACTCACCTTAACATTTGTCACAACATCATACCCGCTGCCGAGACGCTTTTCTAGTGGGAGTTTGTACATTACGCCAACGCTCTTATGCTCGAGGGGGGCTGTCAGTCAAGCATAACATTGATTTCAACACTCCTTACCTACAGGGCTTTGCATGCAGCTCATGCGTTACCTCATTATGATATGCTCTGTCCTCAATTCAACCACGTCCTCTTGACGGAGACTTTTCAAGATCAAGCTTTTAATTGCGACCCTTTGGAAGATTGTGTCTAAACGCTGGACTGATCGGCTCAGTCTGTTCTTTCAAAAATGTTTTCATCAAATGTCTCAGTCTGTTGTTTTGAGAAGTTACTTACAACACACCTTTTCTATTAGGTGTTTCATTTTCTCTTAGTTGTTGTTATTAATACAGTTCATTGTGTGCGTTTTATAAGTTAATGTTAACCCTCTAATAGCAGGAACTGTTCCAAATTATGCAATTATTTAAAGTGCCTATATTTAATTAGGAAACTNTGTTTGTGGAAAGGCAAACGCCCACGCATCAAGCTCTCTACAATGCTAGTGAATTAATTTCAGGAAAAAAAAAAAAAAGTTTGAGAAACACTGCGCTAGTGGATTGTCTATGCAAACGTTTATAATTTCTTTTATTTTTTCTTTTCCATTTTTATTTTGTAATCATCTCGCGACCCCCATTTTGGGAACCCCTGTCCTAGAGCACCATTGTGTGCTTTTTAACCAATTATCTCTCAGAGGGGCGTGGGGAGTGGCTCCTTATTTTCATCTAAAGTAACAGACAGAGAATCAGCACTATTTTTTTCTGTAGATTATCATCATCATCCTCAAATCCAGGATTCTCATTGCATACAACTGTAATTGTTGTGAAAATGATAAATAAATTACATGACCTTGATGCATAGTTGTCTTTTGTGGTTGTTATAAACATATTACAAATAAACAATTTTTTAGTAAGGATCCCTTAAAGGTGTTGATTGTTTGTTAAAGCATTATGGAAAAGATCAGTAGGCCTACTGAGTGGGAAATGTTCTAAGCCTATTACCAGAATACCATTGTTTTGTTTGTAATTTTTCGCATTCCAAATAATCAAAGTGATACAGGAGATTTGTTTTTTTATTGCAAGTTATAAGAGTCTGGTTTCTATGAGGTGTCGGTAATGGCTGCCGTGGTCTCCTCCAATTCTTCTGGTTTGTCCTGTGGCAACAAATAGAGAAGTGAAAATGCAGCATCAACCTAAAATATAGTTTTATATATTGCCATAAAGAAATTGTGTACCTTCTGCCTCTCTCTGTATATGCCTTACTGGGTGAATACGTGTATTTACTGTTTGTTTATTGACAGTCTCATTATTTGTTACGAAGGAAACTTTTTTTCTTTTGCCACTTGAGCATCAAACTATCATGGATGAGCACATAAGATATATGGTTTTATTGTTTAAATGACACTCCAAAGAGTTACAAGGTGATCCTGTTTGATCCCTTTGTCCTGCTTTATGGTAGCACAGATAATAAGCAATAAATATTTAAATTGCTCTCCATCCTGACTTCATGGGTCAACATAAAACAATAAATGTTGCTTGTTAAACATTGTTTTCCAGGCTGATGTGCTTTATATGAAAACTGAGAGCCGCATATTAAAAATCAAATCTATTTGACACAGCTTTAACTAAATTATACAATCATTTAACAAAGTCTGACTGACAGGACACATTTATACAGTGAGAGACATCACTTTACACAGTACCTCTATATGTCCTTTAACCCAGGGGATCAGTTGGGTTACTCTGCTGTAGACGCCTGGTTTGTTGCGTCGTCCGCAGCCCTCTCCCCAGCTCACCACGCCTGCCAGCCTCCAGTCCCCACTGGCTGTCTCACACACCAGGGGCCCACCACTGTCCCCCTTCAAACAGGACATAACCATTTATCCGACATTTTATGCTTAAGTTTGAACAATGCTTGCACATTAAATGGCGTATGAAGTGGTGCAAGTTCGGGCGATGTATTGTAAAGTTAAAGATGTTCTTCGTCAACCTGTTTCCTCTAGGTTTATATGGATATGTTATCCACAGGGTAAGTACCTGACAGGAGTCCACTCCTCCGTCCATGGTGCCAGCACAAATCATCCGAGGAGTTAGGTAATTACCATAGGCGCTCGGGTGGGAACAGACCGGTTGAGCTATGACTTTGACCTGTGCCTGCCTTAGCTCATCTGACACAAAGCCTGACAGAAAGCAGAAAGAAGAGAAATAGTTATTAAACATTAGGCAGTGACTGTGGTGTGAGTTTGTAAAACAAAGGGAGGCAAAGAAAATGTCTATTATTTCTGGATAATTATTCAAACAGACTAGCCAGCTAGCAGCGCGCTCATTAACAAAGCTGCTTCAAGCGTTCAAATGCCAGAAGGAAATTGCAAGAATGAAGTCTGCTTTTCTAATTATGTCATCATTTAAATACAACTTTCTTCTCAAGAATATTTTTATCAAAACTTCTCGTCGCAAGAAGGAAACTGCATCTCAAGTGGCTTTTGACCACATTTCCCCCACATGGTACTTTTGTTTGCCCTGCTAACTAAAGATAACTAATTTAAGTCGTTGAGCTTCATCAGAGCCTACAACTTCCCCATAGGGTGTCAGTTGAGAGTATATTTTGATAGTAGTAAGTTATTACAGTGAAAATAAACAAAAAAGCACAACCACAATGTTCATGTCAGTGTCACTCACACACCTCCCTCATGAATATATCCCCAGCCTGTGATCCAACAGGCCGCTCCAGGAGGAAAGGACTCGCTCGGACTGGGTAAACAGACCGGTCGCACCCCAGCTGCAAACAACACACAGTTATCAGAGTGTTACATAATCTTAGATTTATAAGGAAAGTAATAAAGATACAAAGGTTATCACTTGTATGGCGGTTGTTGGCCCATATCATCTCAAGTCCCTGTAAAACATCTCTTTATATTTTTAAAAGTATGTCATATTATTACAGCAACTGTTTTAAACTGGGCTTTAAAAAGTGTTATAATGTTAGTATTGCTAGCTGGACTGTACAATATTTCGTAACACACAAATAGTGTTGCAAATTATTTATCAACACAGATTGGTTGTATTTATGTGTTTTAAATTCACTTTCATTTGAAACCTGTATAAAGATAGTTTGTGGAAGTTTAAATGTTCAATTTAACTAGTATCAAGATTCCTTTTGAAGAATTTTTACTAAAAAAAAACGGTGATTTGTCAAATTACTGTAAAATGTAATGTTGTATTTAGCTAGATGTATTGATGGCGAACAAAGTGATGTGAGCACATGCCACCACGAGGTAGTGCACATTTTCAGGCCACATCCATTTAAAGGTGAAAACAATTAGCAAACAATAACATGAGTAGATCATTCTTTCAATGATAGCCTTAACATACAGTATGTTTTTTATGGTAGATTATTTTAGAAGAAACTAGCTATCTTAAGGAAGTTGGTGAGGTACTCTACCTTAATTGTAATTGTATTTATTTATACGGGGGAAAAAAAGAATGTTAATACCCAATACAGCATGCAATAAACTGAGTACTCTGAGCCGTAAAGTCAGAATATTAAAGGGTATCGCACTTCAGCAGCCTTAACTGCCTAATTTGGCTTATAACATAAATTCAAGACATTATATGAATCAAAACATTTCTTACCAACAAGGCCTATTTTAGACATGTTGCCTACAGAATTTGAGAGATACAAACATGGTGTGTTTTTGCGCTACCTACATTAAAAGTCTTCTTCTCTCACCTCTCATGTCCATGTCAGTGATGGTGCGCAGCAGGCCCACGTCATAGTCGTTGTTCAATTTGTTGAACCGAGGGTGATAAAGAACCTGCAGAGCTCTGTAACGTTCCCCCAGAGAGACGTCTGCGATGCTGACTGTGTCCACCACCACCAGCCAGTCAGACACTTCCAGCATGTTGTTCCTGCAGAAAAAGAACAAAGACATGGACGTTCTTATTCTGAGGTCAAATAAAGTGTCCCCAGTGTGCAACGATCGATTTCTGTCTTTATACTGGGAGATATTGTGCTGTTTTTCTCTGGTCTTGATACCACTGGTTGTTGTTAATACAAACAACTGAAATCATCCCTTTCTTGTTGTTTGTGATATTGGCACAAAGGGAGTGAGCCCAAAACACTATTATGTTTTTGTCATTCCTAATTTCTTTTAATATTTCCATAAAAGAATTAAGGCCAATTCATTAATTACAGAAATAATTGGCAGAAAAATTGACAGTTGACAACTAATGGATGGATGAATGAATTTTGCTTTAAATATTAATACAATATATATGGGAATTACTTTGTATAACTGCCAATTACAGCCATGTTAATCGAAGTTGCTGTCCATTCTTTGCATTGCTTCAGGACAAACATTTGAATGAACTACCAACGATTTGAACAGGTGCTTTTAATGCCTGAGCATGGATTTTCCCAATTAAATGAAATCCCCTGCAGAAAGCACTGCAATGATTAAACCACTCTATTCTTGGTGCAAATTGTGCAAAATTCACTGGTGGGTAATTGAAATGCCCGTCTCTTGCGGTTTACTTGATTAGACGAGAATTTTCTAATTCAATTGGGCTTGACTAATTTGGTCTTGAATTGATTCCTCTCTACTGAGGACTGTACGTGCAGACAGGATGTAGCACCAACTGGATACCTAACGCTGAGCTTCCCAATCTCTCCTACCACCGTCCCATGTCCACCTCTTACTCAACAAAGCAGTGAGCTGCAGTGATGACCCAGCGAGGGGAGACGATGGCCCCTCCACAGACGTGTTTTCCTCTCCATTGCATGCTGACCTGCCACACCCACTTTTCCTTGACCGCCAACGCCCCCCCAACAATACGCCGGCCATCACTGACCAGAACGGTGCAATCTAGGAAGAAAAGAATGGATGTATAAAATTTGAAAAGAGCCAAAGATGTAATGTTCCCAGTCTTCTTAACATTGAATTCAGCAGAAGCATATTAATCTACTATAGTGAATTACTATAGTAATATTGCAGGAATGCCCCTTCCATAACAAGACTAATAAAACAATGGACATAAATGCCAAAAAGCTGACAAATGTGCAATTATCTCCTGTCCAAGATGTATTTGCAGAGGATAAAGAATGTCGTTAAAACTATAATCCCCACAGCATTTAATCAGTGTAATATATATTATTTTGTACCTGCAGTGATGTTATCTGTCTGATTCACTGGATTCTTAGACAGATAAGGCTGAGTTGGGACACTGCAGTTTCCTTTTAAGCCACAGAGAGGAGGCGGTTCACTTAACACCAGGAACTTGACTGATTTCAAGAGAGAAGATCAACAGTGACATGATAAGAAAAGGTATCCTGGACATGATATCATTAAACTGTCCCAGATCTCCAATTATCAAAACTCCCATTAAATACATTCCCTGTCCACATTTTAAATGACCTCTGAGTCTATAAATAAAGACACAATGTATGGACTAAGCAGTTTTTGTTGATGATTTTTCCAATAAATAATTTCAATTTTCAAGATAGTGCTTCCAAGAGGACACATTAACTGGCACATTCAACCCATATTTTCTCATTATTTAATTTGAAGTACGTTACCTAAGAGAGCAGAGGTGATGACCAGTTTGATGATGATGGGGAAGATCACGATCAGTAGAAGCTCACGAGACGAACAGGCTTGAGGCGCTGAATCTGCAAAAAGATAAATGGACAAAGAGATAAATCTTTAAAGGTCCCCTATAATACTCTTTTTCAACAATGTATTATAGGTCTCAGATATATACAAGACATGTCTCTGAAGTGTTTGGCTCAGAATACCAAACAGATCATGCATTGTAGTATCCCATAATCCCCTCTGTTTCAGCCCTGTTTCAAAAGTGCTGATTCTGTGTCTGTAGCTTTAAACGAAAATAAACTACACAAGCTTCAAGAAAATTATGTAATTTTGTTTATTTCTAAACAAAGATTGTCAAGCAGAAACCATTTAACAAATTAAGGTTTTAATGGCACTATGTTGAGTATTTTTCTTTTATATGTTAAGCGTATTGTTTGTTGCATTGTTGGAGGAGCCTGGGACTTGAGATTTTGATTGCCAAAACATGTCTGTTGCTATTATGCAGATGACAAATAAAACCGTAGAATCCTTGAAAGACTTGTGCTCGTAAGTCGTAACCTTGAAACTCTATTTATTTCCAAAAACATGCTCCTCAATCAAGGATGGGTTTTTGATTCAGAAATTTGTTTTGCAGCAATGAAATATAATGTATTGTCTCTACCAACTCCTAGAAGAAGTATCTGTTAAGTACATGTATTGATCAGACAGCTTAACAATGAGTTGACACTCCATAAAGCCAAGGGGAGAGGCAGAGTTTCCTAATTAAATATAGGCACTTTAAATAATTGCATAATTTGGAACAGTTCCTGCTAATAGAGGGTTAACATTAACTTATAAAACGCACACAATGAACTGTATTAATAACAACAACTAAGAGAAAATGAAACACTTAATAGAAAAGGTGTGTTGTAAGTAACTTCTCAAAACAACAGACTGCCAAGGCACACNCGACCTTATCACCTGGATCTCCTCCAAGAGAAGGGGTTCCCAAACTTTTCAGCCCGCGACCTCCAAAATAACAGTGCCAGAGACTGGCGACCCCCTGTCCGACAGGGGGTCGCCAGTCTCTGGCACTGTTATTTTGGAGGTCGCGGGCTGAAAAGTTTGGGAACCCCTTCTCTTGGAGGAGATCCAGGTGATAAGGTCGGGGGCCGTTACCTTGGTTGGTGATTGGCTGATGGTTACACAAGCCCAACAAATCGTTATGGCATCATAAAGTGGCCAAAATCTGATCAGCTCATTTTCAGACAGGTTTTTATATTTATATTTAGATCAGGACAAAATGTGAGCAAATCTTTTTTCCTGAAAGTTTCAGAATCTCTTTACACAGAGGGGACACAAGTTTATGTATTACATTATATTGCATTTAGCTGACGCTTTTATCCAAAGCGAATTACATGTATAAAATACATGAAATAAAATACATGAAAAAGTGGATTATGCATAGGTGAAAGTAACACCTACGTCACTTCCGGAAGAAAATTACGTACATTGTCAGAATAAGTGAGAAATGAATTTAACTTCTGTTAGACAGCTATCATACTGAATACATATTTACTGTGAATATATACAACAATGTATGGCATAGGCTATAGCTGTCTATGTACTTAACCCCAAATAAAAGTACCCAATAAAAAGAGTTGTTAAATAATAGTGAAGTCACGTTGTAATAACAATAACTCATTTCTCTCGAATTTTATTTTTCAGTTTTGCCAAAAGCCACTGTGTCAAGTGTCCTTCTTGAGTTGCCGTCCGGAGTTCTCCGGCAGACCATCTCGCACATGCGCAGTACAGATCGGGTAGTGACCATGGTAGTGACAGCACTCAGGTCATGTCAGGTGACAGCATTAATGGCTGCACTGTGATCGTAACCAGTTTTGTTTTGGGTTATGAGACTTCCTGATAAAAGTATTCCAACAGTCACGTAGGCCACCGCTGCAGACGACTATATGTGGCGTGTGGGTGCATGCCTTTGTGAGCATGCATGGCTGATTATTGTGCACTGCAATAGACCGACATGACCTGACTTTGCAGACTAGTTAATTTTTATCTAATCTGGGTGTGGAGGAGGAAATTGATTTGCTGGACTGTAGTGGACTAACCCACATTGCTCAGTAACAACAAACATTGGTTATAGCCCCAGTTACAGCCGCTGTAAAAGTTATTGACTATGCAGCACTAATATTGTCTCTGGGTTACTTCCAAGGTGAGAGACAAGCTTTCAAACGACTTTGAGCAGTGAGTTTTCTTGGTAGAAATTGGACATTAGCTCGAGGATAAAGCGGCTACAGCCTCACAGCCTATCAGATTATTTGAAATACATGAAATACATGAATGTCCTCCTTGAGATAATCATCGGGTTACGCAGTCAGAAAAAATAACCGGCGAATAACAATGTGCTCGGTAATAAGCAGAGTGAAACCAGTCCAACGGGCTCTGGCTCTCACCCTCCGCCTCAGAGCAACCACCGAGGGTTCGAGTTACGCAGCGGCCGAGATTAGGCGTTTATGTCCCGGCTTGAGTGCTGTCACCGACCCGCTGAAAGCTACCAGCAGATCATACTGCTCCAGGATGGCGCTGACCGAAGGACTGCTGTTCAGACAAGTAGGGTATTATAAATATAACTTTGCAATGTTGTTCTTCAGTAAATTGTTTTTTTTTTAATCAAGCAGGCCTAGGGTTTTAAATGCAATGTTTGTTTTTGTAGCTAAAGGAAGGGAGCTAGGTGGAGTTGGCTCGCTGTGAGCTCCATTATTTTGCTGATACTGCCTTTTGCATTCAGGGTTGTGATTAAAATGGAGCCAAACTATACGATCATGTCTGCGGAGGGTTGTAGGGACATGGCTCACTTTGACTTTTCTAATGTGCTCAAAATGTTGCAATAACGTTGCAAACTTGATCCTGTCCTGTAATGTAACGTCAATGGTTCTAACATAATAACACAGCAGTGGACATGAAGGTGTGCCTGCTGTCCAGCCTAATTCAGAGAGAATTACAGCAGAGATAACCTTTGGAGTTGTTAATCATTTACCTTGTTTGCAGCTAGTTGACAAAACAATCTCAACTTAATGTCCTCTTACCTACTTTTTGTGAAGCTCACCTCTGTATCAAACAATCTATATTTCAATTGAAAATGACGAAAAACACGTTCAAAAGCTCCAGACAGTGCTAAAAGAAGTATTCAGATCCTTACATTAGTACACATACTAATAACACACAATGGAAATATTCCTGTAAAAGTAAAAGTCCTGCCTTCAAAACCTAAGTTATGGAAGTATTATCACTAAGGCACTTAAAGTATGAAACGTGAACATAGATATGTTTGGCAGCAAAATGTTACCTGTCAGTGTTTTACCATTATATATATATATATATATATATATATGATGATTAATAATACTGCTGCCTCATATGTTGATTGTGTGATAATGTGCTTCTTTATATGCTTTTGGGTAGTTTTTAATTTGAGCATAATAATCTATAAAATGGTCAGATGCTGCCTCACTATCCTATGAGAACCACATGACACTGAAAACTTTGAGTGAGGTTAAAAAAGAGCAGTTTTCAACTTTGTTACAAACCATTCTCAAGCTGATCCAAGAAGGTTTTTAAACAGTTGCCCAAAAAGTATGATCATTTTCTCAACCCATTAAGTTTTAGTTCATCACAAACATAGATGATAGTGGATTCAAAAAGAACAATATTTCTCTCTTAGATATAGTGGATTAAAAGAACAAAGTTAAATAAAATGTGAATATTCAGTACAAACGTGAGTACAATAAAGTATTCTAGACCAAGCAAATTAAGATTGTTTTGTCAAGTTGATATTTTTTGTTTTTTAAATATACAACATGTATCATTTAGTTCCAAACACTAATGATATATCTATCAATACTTCTAACTTTCCAACTACAATCTGTTCTTCCTGTAGTTCTTTCTCACTATCTCCCACATCTACAAGCACACACTACGTGGAGAACGTGCCTCATTACCACTCATTAATTGTAAAGATTTGCTGAGTCACTCCTGTGTCCTAACCTTACCCTTTTCCTGTTTTAGTTGTTTGAATCAGAGAGCAGCACTTACACCTACTTGCTGGCAGACACAGAGACCAAGGAGGCAGTCCTCATCGATCCTGTACTGGAGACTATCGACAGGGACCTGAAGCTCATACATGAACTGGGACTCAATGTAAAAGTGGCAGGTACCTTAACTTTCTGAGGCTGGGCTAAGAGATATGGTGTTATTTCATAGATTCCAACTCATTTTCAATATGTGGTGTCCCACCTTGTCATTGAGCATAACAAACCTCTCTTTTAGTATGTATTTATTTAAATATATACATTAACACTGAACATAATCATATGAGGTATGTTGAGGTATGAGGGAACGTTTTTTAGATCATTTTGCTTATTCCACAAAGTAAGGAGGAACTTTGCTCAAGAAAAGGGTTATTATCACGTGGAATAACTTCACCTACAATCTGGATGCTCAAAGTGAACATCAATTTTCCCAAAACTGTAAACTCGGATAAGCCAGGCGCCTTGTACTCTGTAGATTCTGGGTTACTCATGTTAAAACTTCTGAACTGTAAATTGTGATGCATTTCCCCATGCATCACCATTCTGCTAAGTTGAATGAACATCGGGACAGTGTTTCTTTCTGTAATCCTGTTGACAAAATGAATTTTTAAAAACATAACCTCCTTTAAAGGTAGTAATGTATGCCGCAGACTTGTATTCAAGGTATCCATGATTTTATCTCCTAACCCTGTTGAAGCCTTTACTATTTTCTTTTTTCTAATAGTAAACACCCACTGCCATGCCGACCACATCACAAGCACTGGGCTGATGAAGAAAAGATTGGTTGGGCTGAAGAGTGCAATCTCCAAATACAGTGGTGCCTCAGCAGACATGCTCCTGTCAGAGGGAGACAAGATCTCCTTTGGAAAACATGTGAGAAGAATGTATTACTTTTTTGCTTGCATGGAATCAGTGCAAAACAATCTTAATACAAAAAAAATTGAAAGAGGACTGATTGCTTGTAGTGTTTTGTATCTTGATTTGATAAGTATCAGTATTCTGGATATTGTATTTTGGATATGTATCATCTGTTTCTCTGTAAAGAACTGGACTTTTTAATTTAAAATGGCTTGGTAAGCAAATGTTCACATGCCTTTGTCTCCTCTCCCGCTGTAGTATCTGACAGTGAGAGACACACCAGGACACACTGATGGCTGCATGTCGCTGGTGTCTGGCGATCAGAGCATGGCTTTTACTGGAGACGCTCTGCTCATCAGAGGCTGTGGCAGGACGGACTTTCAGCAGGGTAGACATACACTTACAATTAGTTCTCCCTGCACACTGGTCTAAAGAGAAAGCAGTTATTGTTGTAATACTTATAGATGAACACAAGAGGTCAGTATTGTGACGGTTTTATTTTGGAGTTGCTTTTATCTTTGCAAATTGTTGTTTCTAATTCAGGCTGTGCGAAGAAGCTCTATGAATCGGTCCATCAGAAGATCTTCACTCTGCCAGACCAGTGCCTCGTCTACCCAGCACATGACTACTTAGGTTAGATGAAAAACACACAACTGAAGTTTTTATCACATCTCATACTGTAGAGTCACTGGTTATGAACATTTACTTTTCAAAGCTTTTGCCAGTATATTCAAACCTGTAGCAATCAGTACAGATAGACACAGTGTTACAGGAGTGTTTGTATAAATACAAGTGCAAATTGGTCAAGATTTTCAGACATGTCGTTCCTGACAATAATTTACCTTTTAACATTGTTGGAAGAAGCATTTTGATATTTTTCTTGTATAAGAGCAGTGTACAAATATTCTATTTATAGCCTTGCATTCAAAGTCTTACTTAAATATATTTATTTATTTATTTGGGTTGTATGAGGTACTAATCCATAGCTCCTCAGGCTTCCATCGACCTCATAATACTCCCCTTGAAAACATCTATACATTTAATTCAAAGGTATAGAAGTATTAATATCAATCTACTTCAAATACAACAATTAAAGTTAATCATTATGTAGAAAAGCCCATTTCAAGAGTCCATCACTTTAATGTTTCACCTGGTAAATGGGAGGCTACTTTTAGTGACTCTAAATACAGCTAAATAGCCCAACCTATGACAATATAGTAATTGAATAGGTGATTTATATGTTGTATTATGTATATTATATTCATTTCAAAAATGATATTCAATGCATACTGATTAATGAGCTAATATCCGACGGTTCAATATGCTGATGAATTGGGCGGTTTTTGTCTTTGTGTATCAGGTCAGACGGCGTCTACGGTCGGTGAAGAGCGCAGGTTCAACCCGCGCTTGACCAAAAGCGTGGATGAGTTTGTGAACATCATGAACAACCTGAATCTCCCAAAGCCTAGCAAAATAGGTATCACATTTCTTTCTATAGTTTACCCTCAACCCGTGTACTGTAAAGATATACATTGTAATTCCTGGGCCAAAAAAAAAATGTTCAAGGTTGTTCAGTGCACAGACCCGAATTTAAAGATGTTGCTTGTGACCATACATTCTACTGTTTCTGAAGCAGTTTTGTTTTTCTATTACTTTGCAGATGTTTCAGTGCCTGCTAATCTGGTTTGTGGAGTACAGGAAGTCTGAATGTCCTGCAAAAGGGAGGAACTACTTTAACCAAGGAATCACTATCATAACCATCATACTATCATGAAATCAGAATCAGCTTTGTTGGCCAAGTGTCTGTGCAAGGATTACAATGCCTGTTCCACATAGCAAATGATTAACATCTACATTTTTTAATCTAAACAGATACGTTAATCAATAATTGTTTACCTTAAAGTGCTTTATTGTATATATTTATGTTAATCTAAAGATGTATATTTGAAAAGTTACCGCCATTTGGATGCTGACGTTAATATGACAATGCTTAGAGAATAAAAATGTAATCGGCTCTATTTTATCCGAAAAAGTACTTTTTTTTTATACAAAGACAGTAACGTACCCTATTCAGCTGTGATATTATGAATCGGCGAGGAAATCTTCAAGATGGAAAGCTCAGATAGGAATGTTCCATTCAAGGTTGAGTTTAGTATTCATTAATGCTTAACTGGGACAATTTAGTTCTTCCACATGGCCTTCCCAGTGATTCCGGACTCCTTAAGCTGAGGATACACACACACACACACACACACACACACACACACACACACACACACACACACACACACACACACACACACACACACACACCTTGGGACAAATCTGTGTCTGAGCCCTACATCCCAACCTGTCATTAATGGATCACTCTTTTATTGCATCACAATTCCCAGGGATTTTCTCAGGCCAAAGGAATCTGTCAGTGCAGTTGAACCAGTCCTGATGCCAGGATTTACACACACCCACAGTAGCAGTATTTGAAGTGCTGAGAGATTTTCTTACAACATACCCTCATTTCTGCACTTCATATGCTTTGTAAGTTGGTGAAAGTGAGTTTTCTTGCACTCTGTTTTATTATTCTTTTCCCCTGTGTTCTTCATCTAGTTTCCTACAGCTTACCTACTTGTTGCTTATTATTTAAGAAGATCAATTGTTGAAATCTTGGCAAAAGCTGTTGATTTGCACTGTTTAGTTCAACATGTTTAAACCAAAATGTGACTCGTCATTAGCCCAGAGAATCCAATAACTCTACTGGAATCTAGCAGTGATTCATGTTTTTTATTTATTTGATTTGATGGTACTTAATTTGAATCCTAAATTATTTCCAATTGACATTTTATTCCAGTAAAGTTCTAATACGGCTGCTAAAGTGAAGGTGGGCCTGTTGTTGTACAATAAAAACAGTTTACATCCGGCTAAACATGGAGTTAAAAAAATATGAATAATAATAATAAAAAGTGGGTATTGTGTTGCGACGGTTGCGACCTTTTCCAAACAATGCCAAGCCATTTCCACTAGTGGAGCTTGAGCACATTACATTATACATTAATACAACTAATGATTGCAGAAAAATCTTTAACACCTAAAGCGGGAAATGTTGATGTTCATTCCAACTTAAGCTCATCAGCTAATTTTCCAGAGGAATGTTAAAAAATACGAAATAAAAGTGAATTTGTATGGTATTTCTTGCATGTGCGAGTTGAGTTTAACTAGCTGCGTTACTGGTTTTGTTTCTTATGCGTAGCATTCCAAGTGTCAGGTCCGCTTTGTCTCTTTTCTCCTCTCGGTGACAGCTGGGTGAAAGCCAAAACTCGCTCCTCTCACCTGCCTTTCCTGCTCACACTGCTTGTTCTATGACGACAGCTTCCTGGTCCTCGGCGGCGAGCCAGAAGGAGCCACACGAGCAGGTCCAGAGGTCGCTGTAGTCCACAGCACTTGATTTGTCAAATGACAGCATGCTCTTTGCTCTAGTGTAGGAGCAGGTCCATACAAATATCATGACATGTAACACATAAAGAGGCATAGCTGTATAGCCATTATTTCCCACTTTAAATAGAACAGCAGAAAGCAATATGTTTCTGTAACTCAAAGCAAACATATTTTGAAACCTAACCATATTCTTCTAAAATGAGAGAGAGAAGTTATCTGTTGTCCTTTGTTTAGAGCATAATGTTAAGCAGGACCAGAGCAAGAAAGTGTAAACAAAGGGACCCTAGTGTCTCAATTTTGACACAAATAATAAATAAATGATTTATGTTCCCTGGAATCGTTGTGTGCATAACACACTGGTGTCAATGTTTTGATAGCAGGCCGCCTATTGAAAAAAAGGAGTTGTTTTAAAGGCTGGAGATTTAGTTATGTTTGATTAAAACCACAGCCTATAATTGTGACCAATACAAATAATATGTGACTTCCTTGTTCTCAAGGCCTAATAGCTGGTTTTGGTCTTATGCCTTCTGGAGATGAGACTGCATTTTGTCATCTGGCTTGTACATGCCCCTCTGGTCTCTGTCATGACTCAGTGTTAGAGGCAATGCAGCACTCATACAGAACAGTACAATGCAGTGTATGTTGTGTTGAGCATGACTGATTTCACAATTTACTAATCCTCTGAAAATATTTGACTCTAAACTTCCCTTGAGAGGAGGTTAAAGTACAGTTTTACATTTTTAATATTTTATTTGTTCGCCTTTCAAAAGTCTACAACTGGAAAAGGGTTTGTTTTAGGCCGGTGCAATATTTTGTTATAACTGCACTGCTTTGACAAAGTTACAGACAGACATTTCAGATTATAAATTCACTTTCTATATTAAATCTCTGTTAATTTTTATCTTGTGTAATCCATATAGAAGACAGTATCAGTTTCACAAGATGAAAAGTTGCAAATAAAGTTAAAGTAATAAAACTAAATGTAGTGGAGTTTAATGACAGGATCAATCTTTCTATTTTGAGCCAAAAAAATAATTATTTTTTCATTAAACCCCCCCCCACCCTTCTGTTTACACTACAGTGCACTAACCTACAGTTTAGACCCTGACCCTGTTACAGCTTGGTCTCTCTGTGTCACTCTCTTGCAAACTGACTGTATAATTCAATTCTACAACAGAAATCTATTCAAATGTAATAAATTATAAGTTTAGTGAGCAATTTGAGTGAATTAAGAGAGGATTGACCTCCATGCCTGGCCTCTGTGGATTAATTGAACATTGTGCACAGCCCCCCTCTGAACAGAGCAGTGTTGCTCACATGCTCAGGCTGTAGGCGGCATTCACTTCCTCACCTAGCAGGCCACCGTCACAGCTCTTTTGTCCTGTGTGTTGCTGGTGGAATATAGCCGTTGTCACTGTTGGCTTTATGGTTATGTGTAAACAATGCTTAGCTCCACTATTCCTTTCAGCCACTCACAAATGAGGGGTCCTGACAGGCAGTCATTTCAGAATGCTACTGTGTGTTTCTTCATCATTTGGGAATTACAGTATACGATATGTTTTCAGTTTCAGAAACACAGTAGGCAATCTTTAGATATGTGAGTAAGTCTAGGCCTAACATAAAACAATGTTGCTAAGACAGTCGTACAGCTGTACAAAGGGAAACTACAAACAAATGACACTCCACCAGCGAACACTTTTTGTTATAATAATAATAATAACAATACATGTTATTTATATAGCGCTTTTCCTGGTGCTCAAAACGCTTAGATGTGTACATTTATCTTCAGTGGCTCTGCAGGACGAAGTTGGGTTGTAGCGGCTCAAGGCGTCATTAGCAGCGAAAAGCACAACACACCTCAATCTCCTGCCTTAAAGGTTCGCAGTAAGATCATACACTGTGTATTTGTGTGAACACTGTCTCCGTACAAAATGGGATCTCTGCGGTTAAAGAGACCCAGATGAGTCAGCAGCATTGAAAAGTGTGCATAATTGACGTGAAGTTCTTGATTGTTCTTACTGGATTCACTAACACATGTAGCTTATTGAAGGACTATTATCTGGGTCATTTAATTTGTCTTAAACCTAGTGAAAGAGAGAGATTTTGCTGATTTGAGCACGTAGTGAGGCAATTTGACATGAGAATCATTCTGCTGTGTTGTTGAACATGCTTGACTCTCTCACTGGTCTCACTGGTCTCACTGTGTGTTCATGAGTCAGCTGTTGCTGGTTATTGCTGATCTACGTTTGATAATTATCATTGCAGACTGATACAAGAGTCCTGAAGTTCTCCGGGTTTCACTTTGAGAGTTTAGGGTTATATCTTGTGTTACCTCTGGGAACTCATTATATAACACATACACATAAACAAACACATGCCCAGTCTGTTCACTCCCTGTCTGCTATCTTATCCTCCAGAGGCGCACCCTCCCAGCATTAAAGACTAATTATTTTGGGCACAAAAGTCTGTTTTGTTCTTTGATCTGACTTGAGCTGAACTTTTCCCTCTTCTTTTTTCTTTCTGCCCTTGCTGATTTTGTATTCAGTCGTTACTTTTATCACTGTCTCCTAATGTCTCGCTATCTCTTGTTTTGCCAGTGCAATGTGTTTGTTTAGCCTGTTTTCTGGTGCATTTGACCACTTTGTTAACATGAAAGCATGGACTTTACTCCTGAATGCCTCTCTCTTTCGGCCCCCCAGTGTTGTATCTGAGTGGACTTTAGCTGGAGGTCAGAAAGCATGCGCTTGCCCTGATGTTTGTTTGGATAATAATCTAACTCGTGTGAAGCTCTGTCGGCTTTGTTTTCCCAGATATTGACAGCTTTTACTGGAAAGCAGACTAGAATCATTTTGTAGCAGGACAAATAGTGTATTCATGTACAGTCCTGATGCCAGAGTAAGGCTTTACAATTGGGATTGCCAAAAATGGAAATTTCCTCCGATTTGGTAGTTGGATAATAATTATAGTCAAAATGAATATACCACGTTTTACACTGAACCTAAGTTAAAGACAATTTTTTTTTCATTGTTCCCATTGAATTTGTTCATTTTGAAAAGCATTGAATGTATGTCTGCACAAAATAACAGTATGCATAAAAAGAGTGTTCTCTGCAATTAGGTGGAAATGTTTTGTGTATATCGGATTCAGCAATTGGTCAAAAATAAAAAGATTGGAATGTTGGCAAAGTCTAATATCATTCATCCATAATATATAAATAAATAAATGCATTTATTTATGGGCGCCTTTCAAAGCTCTCAAGGACACCTTACAGAGCATAATTAAAAACAAAGCAACAAAGAAGATCACACAGTAATACAAGACTTAAAGACTTAAAAACAACAATCAGTTTAGAAAAATTATTAAGATATTGAATATGCCAGTTTTAAAAAGGTGTGTTTTCAGGCTGGATTTGAAGGTTGAGAGTGAGTCCATATTCTGGATGTCTTGTGGGAGAGAGATCCAGAGACGGGGGGCAGAGTGGCTGAAGGCTCTTGACCCCATTGTGGTCAGGCGGGCAGAAGGTACAGTGAGTTGGAAGGCAGAGGAGGATCGGAGGGCACGAGAGGGAGTGTAGGTGTGAAGGAGTTCAGAGAGATATGGAGGTGCAAGAGTGTGAAGGGCCTTGAAGGTGAGGAGCAACACTTTAAAATCTATGCGGTATTTAACGGGGAGCCAATGGAGTTGTTGGAGAACCGGAGTGATATGATTAATGGAAGGAGTTCTGGTAATGATACGGGCGGCTGAGTTTTGGACCAGTTGGAGCTTACGCAGGGATTTGTGAGGAAGACCAGAGAGGATGGAGTTGCAATAATCAATACGGGATGTAACGAGGGCGTGGATGAGGATGGCGGTGCTGTTGGGTGTGAGTGATGGAAGGAGGCGGTTAATATTGCGGAGGTGGAAGTAGGCGGATCGAGTGATGTTGTTGATGTGAGCTTCAAATGATAAGGTGCTGTCAAGGATGACACCCAGACTCTTAACTTGGGGGGAGGGTGGGACTGTGGAGTTGTCAATAGTGAGGAAGAATTAGTCAGTTTTGGCCAGAGTGGACTTGGAGCCAACTAAGAGAAACTCAGTTTTATCACTGTTTAGTTTTAAAAAGTTGGATGAGAACCAGGATTTGATTTCCAGTAAGCAGTCGGAAAGGGCAGTGGGGGGAGAGTGGAAGTGGGTTTGGTGGAGAAATAGAGCTGGGTGTCATCCGCGTAGCAGTGAAATTGGATTGCGTATTTTCTGAAGATATGGCCGAGAGGTAGAAGGTAGATGATAAATAGGAGGGGGCCCAAGACAGAACCCTGAGGAACACCAGTGAAGACTGGATGGGACTGTGATTTGAAGTGTTTGAGTTGGACAAAGTGAGTACGGAGAGGAAAGATCTAAACCAGGTGAGTGATGTGCCAGTGATACCAATGGAAGATAATCTGTCAAGGAGCATTTGGTGTGAGATTGTGTCAAAGGCTGCAGTCAGGTCATATAATAGTGTTGCGCCCATGAAATACCAGTACAGAAACCGTGAATATTATTTTACTCCAGACATTTGAGCGCTGAAGTGTTCGGCCTTCTGCCAGTTCAACTTCATTAACATGTGTGTGTTTGACTGTAAAGTCATTAAAAACATTTTATTTGGTCGTTTCTATCAGTGAAACTTGAATTATGCATTTATAAAAACTGTTTATCGGAGTATTTGCTCTTTTTGCTGCTTTTGAAATTTGGGGGTTGCGTTTTTTTTTCTCACAGTTAAAACTGATATTGTGATATACCATGAATGACTGTTGTGTCATAAATAGTCATATAACTGCAGTATTATAAACAGTATATAATAAAATGCTATAGGTGCAAATTTCACCTTCCAAGTCCAAGTTTATGCATATGAAGGATCAACCGGTAAAGAGTTGGAATCACCTCTTTTTTGAAAAGTTATTTTTGGGCAAGAGAGGGAATTTATTAGAGATTTATAGCGTTGAGACGGAAGGGAGGTCATCGCCTTAATGTTCTGCCGGCTCAGGATTCGAACCAGCTTACTAGGCAGCGATTTACGCTCTAACCACTGAGCTATCCAACGGCCTGGAATCACATCTTTGAAATATCCTCATGAAAAGAAATATTTATATTTTTCTTTAGTGAACATTATTGTATTCTTTATCCGCATCTATAAAACTGCATGTTGCATATTTGCTGTATCACCAGGAACATGACACTGGCCTTTGACATTTAACACTCCACTTCCTGCTGTTTTTCTCTTTCCTCTCTCTCTGTCCATGCCTCCCCCTTCTCCAATCTCTCTCTCGATGTGTCTCAGTGTGTCAGTCGTTGTTTGGAAACCCTCACTCACATCTCTGCTGTATATTTATGTCTAGGCTTCCACTTCGCCTGCATTCCCTGCAGCCTAATAAGGTCTGGATCCAAGGAGAGAGGGAGGGCACAGAGGGCGAGGGGAGATGGTGGGAAAAGGTTGGACAATAGGCATCAAAAGTATGTTCCCACAAGCTGGTTTTAGCCTGTGCATGTGTGCATGTTTCCGCTGGTTTTGTGTACAGAGAGACCACACAGTAGAGGATTAAGGATAATAAAGGTCTTTAGGTTGACGTATTCCCAAAAGTTGGGAAGCACTTTGATGTAGAACAATGTAAACATTATACAATGATATTTTCTCTTGTAAATGAACATGCATGTTAAATACAGAACAAAAAAGTATGACATTAAAGTACTTCAAAGACTATTCTTATTTGCTCCAACATATGTGGAACTCCTTGTAGTTTTTCATTAATTGTTCCATTCATAAACCGTCTCGTTGCTGCTGGTGCACATCAAAAGCTTCCCAACTGTCATTTATCACTCTATTGTCCACACACAGCAGAGTCCCTTGGAGGGACCCTGAAACATCGCCACACCCTGAACCTTCCCCTCTCTTTCACTATTGTTTCCTCTACTATAAGGTGTTTACTCCATCAGTGACAGGTTTCTGGATCAGGTGGTGCATTTCTGTGTTTTAAAGTCCTCACGAAGTACTACTTAGCTGTAGGGCTGCTCGATTATGGCAAAAATCATGATCTCGATTATTTGGGTTAATAATTTATATCACGATTATTAAAAACGATTATCCATTTACTTTGAAAACATCCATTTATTGAAAACAAAAAATTATAATAACTGAAAAACCAATACAAAAAAATAATACTTCTTTTCTTTGTTTTTTTAAATAAAAAAATAAAAAGTTTTGTTTCGATTATGTTATTTTCATAATCGTTGCAAGCCAAAATCGTAATTACGATTTAAAATACGATTAATTTAGCAGCCCTATCAGCTGTGAAATCCCCTACTGAGACCTGTCATCTGATCCCTGATACACCTTCAACCGTGCAGCAGATTAGATTACCACAATATTCACAAAAGTGAGTAGCTCTCATGAACTGCCCTTCTCCCTTGTCTTCTCTTTAGAAATGCCCCAACATAACATGGAGAGCACCAGGAGCCCGTGGCAGCGGGGGCCGCGGCCGCCGTGGATCACCAGAGTGGCTGAGGGCCACAGCCCCGCCTCCTCGGGGGCGGAGTCAGACACAGAGAGCAGCAGCACGGAGAGTGAGAGGGTAAGTGAGTGAAAGGTTGTTGATGAAGGTGATCTGCTCCTTTAATGTTGTAACAATGAGGGGAGTCTGAAAGCCCCCTCTAGATCCTGCTTGTCAAAAGAAAGAATGCTTCAAAACAATGAACCACGGCACATTACTAGACCCAACCGTTTACTGTTGTAAAGCCTCCATGTTGACACTTTCATACTTTGTTCCCCCCCCCCCACCCCCATGCCAGTCTTGCGTCAAAAAACTGGAGCTGGGCTCACTGAGGGTTCTTCCGTCGTCCTCATTGCTCCGACAGCGAATCACAGAGATCGACCAACAGAAGGAGGAACTAAAGATTGAAGTGAGCATCTAACATAATTGTTGCCCAATTAAATACAGGCACCAACACATCTATTTTTCTCATCCTATTCATATATCAAACTGAAACAATTGGATAATTTGTCAAGTGTTATCATTAAAGCATTTTAAGAAATCCTGAAATGGAACAGCCAAGTAGCTTACTTTTGCTACTTTAACCAAAAAGACATGAAAGATCACTGAAAATAAATGATTGACTAGATGAATAATAGTTATTCTTTAAAATGTTAATGAGACTACTTTGGCATTGAGTTGCCTTTGTCTCTAATGTGTAATGTTTTGTGGGCAGTTGGTTGGGCAAAAAAGCAATATAAAGATCTGTCCTTGGGCTTGGCTTGCCTCCATTTGTTGCTACTTTTTACACTTTTACAATCGAGGAATCTCTGAGAACATAGTCCGCTGATGAATAAATATATAATCATCATACATTTCAGTCCTAAAACAAATTAAACAAAATGTAAAGGGTTCTAGTGCAAAAAATTGCTGCATCAAATAACCAACCGAAACTGAGTGTTAAAGGAAACTCTAAAATAATTTCGATGGTGTTGACTTGGAGATCTAAATGTGCAGACTTCAGCAAACTCCGACACAGTCACGGTAAAGGAATGCATATCTGTGACTTGCTCAAGCTGGTCAATATGATTCAGCTCAGCGGCGTCTCCTGCCCTTTCAGCTGCAGCTGGAGATCGCTCTGCTGCAGGGAGAGCTGCAGACGGAGAACTCTCAGCTGCACAGACACACACAGAAGCTGCAGGCTCTACAGCAGGAGGTCCGACGAAAGGGGAAGCACCGAAAAACCGACAGACAAAAGGTATCATGCAATACAGCTAAAAAAACATATTTCATTAGTCACAAACTTGTATGTGTTTTGTGATTTTGTGATGTTTTACCTCCTGGTTGTGTTGTGGTTCACATGTGTGGGCTCAGTAATGATCTGCAGAACAAACTCTTGTAAACATGGTTGTGAAATTGACTTGTTATTGTGTTGATTTCTTCTCTTTTGAAATATTTTTTTGTTCTGCTTTGAAAAGTTGAGGTGATGACATTACTCCTGCTTCACTGCCCTTCCCTGTAGGAGCGAGAGAGTCTGGAGGAGGAAAGACGGAGGGTGAAAGAGCTGAAGGGGATGTTTGAGGAGAAGGAGAAACTGATCCCCAGTCAGCCAGAGAGCCAGAGAGAACTGCTCACACTGCAGCTGAAGCAGGTCAGTGGCTGCAGCCTCTCCATCTATGAAGAAACTAAAAAAAAGGCGACATTGTGTCATGTTCATAAACCTGTTGAGACTAACCCCTTTTGGACTTACACCCCTTAATGCTTATGAAATGTGAATATATATATACATATAGTTTGAAGAAATAAGCCTGGTGACTTTTTACGTAAAATTCACAACAGCGATTTCTTAAAAAAGCTCAAAAAGGTTTTCATTTATGGAACCTTTTATTATCACTGCCCTTCTGTCTCTGTGCATTCAATCTTGCTAAGCATGTTTATAAGTGAATAACACCCAATACATGATGTTGTTAGCAGCTTTCCAATTGATATGTACTAAACAACACTGAAACTGATCCTGGTTAGTCCATGCCAGTGTGTCTCAGATGCAGGTTGTGTAAGCATCAGTTCGGATTCCTACACATAATGGTGTGTGTGGTTTCACAAAGTGTGATTGTTCAGTACCTGTTCAACCTGCCGTGTCTATGTTTCCAACACTTAGACACACACACACACACACACACACACACACACACACACACACTTTATGAGATGGTGAGACACTCACACACTCATACTTAGACACACACACACACACACACACACACGCACACGCACATTACTTTATGTTGTGACATGACATATTTATTTGGAAAGATCCTTTAGAAACCCCACGGAAAAAAACCTCATGCGTGCACGCAGGACTTACCGTAAGTACACACTGCACAGGAAGAAGAGCAGGTGTTTTGGTTATGAGGCAATGAATATGCACATGTTTTTACTTTCACCAGCACTTGTACTTTTATCTAATGAACATGGTTTGAGTCATTTTGGTAATGCAGCCTTAAAACCAGTGCTTTTATGGACAATGTGACAAAGTAGTTTTCTGATAAATACAATTTGAAGTCAATAAAGATGTCTTCTATAACAGTCTCAAGTGAACAGATATATCAGACATATATAACAGACTCATTTGTCGTTAAATAAAAAATGGAAGTATAAAAGCAAGTATAAATGTTATATATTTTTTTCCTTCCATAAACTTAGTATAACCCTAATAATATCATTTTCTGAAGCAATTTACTTTGTTTTTAATATAAGGAAATAAAGGAACCAGCTTCACAAATGGAAGTCTAGCACATTGGAAATGGCACTGCTTTATGACAAAACCCTTAAACATTATGAATTGACTTTAGCTTGAACTAAAGTCTGTCTTTAAGGTAAACAAGCTATTCACAGATTAGTTTGAAGAGAGGTTAAATGACAAAGAACAAGTAATATCTCAAGTGTTGTTCCTTAAAGGTAGGGTAGGTAAGAATGGAGAAACCAGCTCGAGTGCGCTAGAATTTGAAAGTTCGCATCCTTCAGACTTCCATACAGAGCCCCTCCTCCAACACACACAAACGCACACATGACCAATGAGGGCACGAGATAAATTTGTGCACAGATGGAAGGCTCACAGGCAGGTAGGCCATCCAGTTATTTTAGCCGGGCCGGCTCAGATGATTGGTCGTGCTTTTTACAGCGCCACGGCTTCCACAGATGACATTTCTTTATGTATTTATTGTCAAAGCATTTCATATATTCATTGCTATCAGGATGTTAAGAGCATTCCATGGAATATAACAAAAAGTGTTTCTGAAGTGAATTACCTACCCCACCTTTAATATCTGAGTGCTGTTTATCAGCTATCAGAGTTTTATTGTGATATTTGTTAGCATAAAAAAAAAGATATAAATGTAAACAACAGCTGAGTTGTATTTGACTCGATCATTCATCTTGATTGCAGGAGAGAGAGGCGATGGAAGCGGCGGTCCGGGCGTTTGAGGACTGGGAGTTTAGTGTTCTGGAGAAGGAGAGCGGACTTGATGAGGATGATGCGAGCACGGTTGATGAAGATGGGGAGGAAGAGAGTGAAGGGGAGATGGATAAGGAAATCCTACGTCAGCAGCATGCGATCAACAGTGGACAGGTAAACAGCAACGTTTTGTCGAAGGAATTTTTCTCAGAGAATTTCACAACTGCCCCTGACGTGTTATACGGGTTTACAGCTTATCTGTGTGTCATGTGCTTCATGTCAGTGTTACCCCCACTGGCTGACATGGGATTAACCTTCACACACAGTACTCTTAATACAGAGTTGTGACATTAGACTTCTGCACAGAGCAGGTGGACAAACAAACAACACCACACAATCTAATCAGTCTAACACAGTAGCCCGGCAGAGACGTCTACATTTGTCAAATATGACAACGCTGGAACTCAAAGTCCATTTGAATGCACGCCAACACGGGAAGGTGATGCCTATAACAACTAGTATATCTTACTACAATTTACTTCATATTTTAGGGGTTTATCATTCATTTATCATGTTTTTCTTCATTGATTTCTGATAGTTTTCTCATATTTATTGATTATGTTTGTGTCATCAGTGTTGGTAGAGAAATAGATCACAAAAACATATTCATATCAGTTTAAACGATGCACTACATAGAATACACAGTTTGTTCACTTTCACTTTAATGCTGTTGTTACTGCACACATTGGCATCACGATTGTGAGAGACATATGATACACAATCCTTTACTTTACCAAGTTGGCTTTCTTGTTTTCCTTTTTTAACCTAACAACGGTTTTCCAGCATCCTCCAATTATGAGCATCTGAAATTAATCCTCTCTCTTCAGAGTCAAAATAAGGAGTGCTCAGAGCAGAAAGGGAACTGTAAAGCCACAAATCTGAGCTCCTCCTAAAATAATCACAGAGTTGTTTGCATTAATCAGCAAAGCTATAAATCTGCAGATTCTATTTTTTGCACTCCAGCTCGGTGGAAATCATCATTATTGGCTGATTTGCTCCAAAGCCACTACCACTTTCAAGCAGTGTGCACATGCACTGTCCTCAAGTCACAGTCCATGGTTGTCATTGCAGGTTAAGACTTGTCCTCCTTACTCTCCATCACGTTAAATCGTGACACGAGCGTGAACCTTTACCTCACTCTCACCAGCATCACACTGACGCTGTCACATGACTCCAGACAGCAAACTTAATTACATCAGAGGCCACCCTGAGAGAGAAATCCAAGGAGCAGGAAGGAAAGCAAAGCAGTGACAACGGCGCTGAAGACCGAGAGATAAAATGCATGAGGGGATTTGGAAACATTTTGAAGCATGGCTGCATTGTTCTGGCTTAAATGATATTCAGGATCATCTCTGTTCAACATTGGGATCATGACTATTTGTTTCAAGAATGCAATAGCTGTATCACACTTAGAATCGGCAGGATCATTTTCAAGTTGATTTTAAATGTTGAAATGAAGAGAAAGATTGGATGAAATAAATGTGTATTCCCAAACAGAGATGAAATACAAAGCAGTAATAGACAATAAAAACAATAGTTCCCCCAGATCATGCACTCAAATATTCCAAAGCCTTCACCTTAAACTTTCAACCTGTTTCTGTGCAGCAGTGTGTATACAAATGGCCTGTGATTGGCCAGACAGTTTTGAATAGACCAGACTTGATTGTAAACCCCACAACAGTAAATCTAAATGAAAAGAGACAACGTACCACACAATGAATCTGATTTACTGTGGAAGCCAAGATGATGATTGTCATTGTCAAACACTTTGTGATGGGGAGAGTCAACAAAAGGAGCAAATTGGGAGACAAAACTATTCAGGTTTCGGATTTCCACGATCATTTGAAGAGGCCTGGAACATTTTGGCACTTGCGTGAGATATCCTAAATGTATAACTGCAGTGAGGCGCCAACTGTTGAGTTTTCAATCTCTAATTAAATGACTGAGACATGCTCTTTCCAACGGTGCTTCCGACTTTCTTAAATGTGAAGGTGAATAGGAAACAATCTGTTGTTTCTTTGACAGCTTCATCAGTCTTACGCACTATAATTGACTCAAATTCTACAGCCACGCTGTGAGGGTGTACTTTAACACAGGGGTGTGTTGAGCTAAATGCTAACACCAACATGCAGACATGCTACCAATAATGATGGCAACATGCTGATGTTTAGCTGGTATGATATCTACTTTGTTTACTGTCTTAACAATGTTCATATTGCTAACATTTGCTAGTTAGCACAAAACACAAATTACAGCTGATGATGGCACTTTATCTAAAGTCAGAAGATTACTAAAGTCTTTGCAAATAATCCTGAGGGATATATGATTGTTAGAAAACATTTCTTTGCATCTTCCCATAGCTGTCATATCTCTTGCAACCACATATTTCCATGTTGTATTGACAATGTTATGAAAGTTGAGTCCACAGTTCAAAGGGATTCATCCTCAGGTGACCATGAACCATCAATTTCATAGCATGGGCTATGAATGATAAAAGAAGGTTGATTGACACATTTTATATTGCCATTTTGTCATTTAATGAGTACATTTCTTTTTTGGAATTTCCTCATTGCAAAAATATTTCTGAAACCTCCACTATTTCCAAATGTCTCCAAGATAGAAAGTGAAGGCAGCTGTAAAATCTTTTTGACGTTAGATCTTTGTTTACATTCTGACAAAAAGTTTCAAAATGGCTGTTGTTCCATTCCCAAGTCAGATTCCACAAAAACACATGAATACAGACAATAGATTAGATTGTGATGATGATAATATATAATAAATTGTTCCTCAATTAGCTGAAGTATGTGAGAGGAGGAGAAGAGGGGGATTGTGTGAGAGAGACGGTGGTTGACTCAGCTGCAAATGACAGCTCATCCTTACACCCTCTGTCTTGTCTGTCTGTCTGTCTGTCTGTCTGTCTGCCTGCCTGCCTGTCTGCCTGTCCGTCTGTCTGTCTGTCTGTCCGTCTGCCTGTCTGTCTGTCTCTCACTGTGTCACACTTGCTGCCCTAATGTCCTGATTTAAAAACGACCCATCATTTATTTTGTTCCACCCTCACTCTTGCTGTCACGTGTTCCTCTCCTGCCTCTCATTAACTTGCAAATGTGTGATTTGCATTGTGTCTCGGCTCAGGTAAAAAATCAGCTCGGCTCGGGGCTCGGCGTTTGCTCTCAAAACAGAATCCATGTTTACACACCATTAAACCTTAACATCATGAAAAGAAGAACTACACTGGGGGCCAGCCAGATGTATCAGATACAGCACACGCCAATTGTTTTGAGGAGGAGAAACCATGTGGCTGTCCACACTGATGGGAAGTATGCTGTTAATTTTCAGGAGCGAGTGCAGCAGTTACAGAGACAGCTGAAGGAGATGGAGAGGGAGAAGGAGAGGGACATGAACGCCTTGAGGAAAGAGAGGAGAGACCTCGTCCACACAAATCAAACGGTAAGAGAGATATATGATATTATGGACTATTACCAACCACCATTACTACATCTGAGAGTTCATTCATTCTGTCCTCTTTTTTTTTTTTTTTACTTGATTGGAAACAGCATTTTAATTTTGCTAAAAGAAGGAAAGATGGCAACTGTGTAAGAAATCAAACCCTATTTCCTCCCTAGTTTGCCAATTTCTTTTGAATGTCCAAATCTGAAGTATAGTATTCAAACACATGTTGACCTTACAAGTGAATAGTGGTTTTGTTTGAACATAGATTGTTAAATGAACTGTTTAGTGAGTCCACACCTCCTACATCAGTTTCTCTGCAAAATGGTTCAGAAGTGTCAATATTAGCACAAACACAGTCATTTGTGTGGTAAAGGATTTAAAAAGTGATTTTTAGTTTTACAGCTGTAGTCTCCACAGTTACTGTATTTACTATGATTAGAGGAAGTTGGTTTTTTGTGTATATTTGATATCATGTTACTGTGGAAAGACCACCCTGCCATGTTTTATCAGTGTGTTATGAATATGTGTGATTTACTCGGTCACTAATTAAACGGAGCTGTGCCTTTATCACACCGCCAGTGGTTTGTCTTTTGACTTAGGACAGCACCAGTTAAAATGAGGAGGAGGAGGAGTGGAGATCTAGTCGAGGAAAAAGCAAATCAGACATGGAAAGAGAGAAACAGAGGGAGGGAGCAAGAGGGAGTTGAGAGAGGGAGGGAAGGAAAGGGATAGAGGGAGGAGTAAGCATTGTGAGGGAGGGTGCTGCTTTTGTGAATGTGTGTGGACATGTGAGTGTGTGTGTGGATGTGTGACAGGGAGAGAAGGCAAGCTGGGAGAAGTTCCGCATCATTTTAACAAGCGGTAAGCCAAAGACACTCAAATTGATCCTCGTGGCTGACAGGCGTTTGAATTGTGTTGGTCAGAAACTGCCTTAATGTGTTAAGTTCATCTGGAAGAGAGAAGGGGAACAGCTGGAGGGAGGATACAAGGGAGTGGCAAAGGAGGAGAGAGGGCAAGACGGTGTCATGACCAAGTGACTACAATATGACCGTGAGCAGGATGTGCTTTACTTCTGACATGTGGGGTTAATGCTCCGAGCTTGTTGTGTCCTACAGAAAAGAACTTGTGTAGTAGATAGTTTAAGGGAATTGAATCTGATGGGATATCATAGTTGTAAGAAGACGCAGATGTTGAAGAAAATTATATCCGAGGATCAGTTGCACAAATCTTCCCTGTCTGCACATTGCCCACCGTGGGCATGTACGGGTGTAGAGTAGTGAAAGAGACAGATAAGAGTTAAACAGTTGACTGCATGTGGCGGCTGAATTACTCATGTGTTTGAGTCAAGCAGGGTGGGAGGGAAAGATAGTGAGGCAATGATAATTTTGTTTAACTCATTACGATCCCTCTCGGAAGTGGACTTTTCATTTTCAGCCAGATGTGGTATGTCGAACGCAAATCAGTGTTTGCCATCTTCCCTGCCCCTTCGGTTTATTTAAAACTGTTTCGCTTTTAGTTGTCATGAATGATACGTTGCTACATTTCAAATTCAATATATTCTGGTCCTACAGGTTCTCAAAGAGAAGAAGCCTCCCACCGATTGGTCGGACATCACCGGCTCAGTCCCCTGCATGATGTCACTTTCCCCTCTGGTGATTCACAAACCTCCTCAGGTATGTCACCATGGAAACAGCATGTGTGTACTACTGACAGCATGTGTTTACAACTAACGTTTGGTTTCAGTAAGTGCCTTTTTTATTTCCTCAACAAAGCTGTCAATCATTAGTCATTAAACGTCTATGACAATTTCCCAGGAACTTTAAAGAAAAGGTTTTGTATGGTCACACCAGCTGTCAAAAACGAAGAGATTTTAACATCATTTAATGTTACAGAATGCCATAAAAACATCAACATTTTAAAGTCTTCTCATCGCTTCAGCTCACATTCTTTTTATTTAATTTTGAAGGAACAAAGCAAAGAGTCTGCCAGTTTGCCTAGAAGACGGAGCTCGCATCGCAACAACAACAGACTCAACGACAGACCGCAGTCCGTACAGGGTGAGCTATACCACCCCCCTTTTTCTATTTTCTATTGTGCTCTTTAATTGCTCACACTGAGGGCACCATGTTATAGAACAATACCCACTCTCTCTGCACTCTCATTTTGTCTGACTGTTTGTTCAGTTCCCTCCCTTTTAGTCAAATCAAAGGTGTGTCGGTTGCGTCGACAGGTTGTTATTACGTTGGTAGAAAACAGGATTTTCCTGTATAGGCTGGATGAGCCACAGAAGAGCTTATATACTTGATCTCCAGTAGTATTATTTTTTTACACACACACCTATCAGTCTCCAAATCCAGGTAGCCTGATCTACAAGGTCATGTCAAGTCTTGCCAGGTGTCCTTCTCCTACATTATACATTCTTGAAAGCTGTAACTTAAATGTCTTGATCTAATGTACAGCATGACCCACCACCCCCATTTTTCTCTCATGCCACATATTATATAAAGTTATTCTCGCTGAACAATGCACGTCTCTTCCCTCTCTCAGGGTTGGTGAGGATGCTTCCAGACAGCCAGTCCCCGGGGGCTTTTACATCCCCCATCCCCTCCCATAGGCTCAGCAACGGGCACAGCAGCGGGCACAGACCTGGGAGCAGCAGTGGGCACAGCAGCGGGCACAGCAGCGGGCACAGCAGCGGGCACAGCAGCGGGCACAGCAGCGGGCACAGCAGTGGGCACAGACCTGGGAGCAGCAACGGAGGCGGGTTCCTCACACCGTGCAACAGCACAACGAGCTCCCGCGCTGCCAGGTCAGATACTATCCTGCTTGTGTGATGAGCACTGAGAAATTAAGAAGGCTGTGTGTACTTCTTAAGCATTTACATGAAACAGTAGGGGCTTTTTAGTTGTGTATGACAAAAAAACAAACTGTGAGGAGTATCCCTTCTTATGAAAGGTGCCGTTAAGAAAAAAAAAAGAAGATCATTCCAGATATTTTTGGTTGTTTTGGCAAGTACTCAACAAAGTTATTGTTTATGTGTAGGAGCATGTTGACAAGGCTATTACAAAGTTTAATAAGCAGGGACTACGCCGACCGTTTCACCAGATTTTCTAAAGCACTTTATCTGGAAGTAATACTGAATAACTTGGTGTCTTTCCTGCACTCTTTACACATTCCCAGATCTTATCTTGGGACGTACTGTACAGTGTTATAATGACGGATAGGAATGATGGCGGAAACTACACTTTTTAGATAGGGGTGCACCGAATGGGAAATTCTTGGCCGAAACCGATACCGAAAATAGGAAACAGTTGGCCGAAAACCGAATGCCGAAAATGATTAATAGAAATATATATATATATATTTCTATATATATATATATATATATTTCTATTAATCATTTGTATACATTTTTTACCAATGTTGTTCAGCTACCTGATTATGGAAAAAGACATGATTATGGCAAAACTTTACTTAACTTAACTTAAATAATAATCACTATTATGGGTCCATAAAACATTTATTCAGCACTTTTGAATGCATACTGTACATTAATTCCAAGTCAAGTGCATTTTCTTTTCTCTGTAGGATAACTACAACAAAGTGCATTCAGAACAAAGCCAAGGTGCTTTAAAACTGCATAAACATCTAGGCCAGTAGGCCTACAACAAAGTAGTGTAAATAAAGACTGTAACAGCCAGGGCTTCAACAACAACAAATGCACCTATAAGTGCATGCATACAATGTGCACACTGGATAAATCCACATGAATGTAACTATTTACAAATGGAATTACAATTGAATTTCAAGAATCTGTAAATAAGGCTGTCTGTCCTCATAAGCAAAGTAGTACATTGTATAAAGATACATAAAGTGAAAACTGGATACAAAATCCACAATCAATTACAAATTAAATTACAATTTCAAGAATCTCTAAATAAGGTGGTCTGTCCTCATGAGCAATGTAAACAACATTGTATCATTTAGATACCGAAAGTACAATATATTGAACACTGTGCTGCTGTCATTTCCCCCTAATGATAACCTGAGATGGTGAATTATAACTCACAATGAAA